ACCCTATATGCAGATAAGTTTGTAGGTCTTTTTTTGAGTTTTATCTTTTAGAAAGATTATGTACTCATTTCAACAATGCTGTTGTGGTTCAAAACATTTTTTGAATAGCTTTCAGAATCTGGTTAAGGGTCACAAAGGAAAAGCGGTGTTGGTATTTTAGCCAATTTATTTTTTAATTAACAAGTGGCATAATCTGCTTGATCACTCAGGAGGAGTATATAGAATAAGGAAAGCAGAGGATTGAAGCTCAAGCTCTGGGAAATACCAATATCAATGTTTAGGAAAAGAAAAGAATAATTAAAACTGGCAGAAAAATCCAAGCTAGAAGAAGTCTGAGAGATGGGAGTTAAAAAGAAGAGATCAGTGATTCTGACCATACATGGGGACCACAGAGGAGTTTCAGCAAAGTGTTATTTGACATCAGGAGGGTAACGATTTTCTTCTGAGAGGTTTTAAATTCAACACAGAATAAACCAGAGAAGAGACATGCAAAGTAACCTGAATTAGGCAGAATGTCTCTTAGTTTTGATAACTCAGTAAGGAATGGATGGCACAGTTTCAAGATAAAGCATAACATAAAGAAAGTATAGCAACAAATGATTCAGAGAGGTCAAGGAATGAAAAAATAGAGAGTGTAGGTGGGAGTTTGCAATGTGGAGTTCATGGCTGGGCTTTGGGAAAGCAGCTTCAACAGAATGTTAAAGACAGAAACCAATCTACGGTAGATTGAGGAATATATAGAAAGTACCGAAGGGTCAGACTAAGTGTGAACTTTTCGTTACTAAGAAAGAAGAGAGAAAAGTAGATGGCATGAGTTACAGGGTCTGAGGAAATATGTTTGCATGTTCTAATGATTGGAGAGATTCTAGCATGTTTATAAATGAAGGGAAGGAGCTGTAGGAAGGCAGTCCAGAAACAGAAGACATGACCGAAGGATCCAAAACCTTGGAGAGGCTAGAGGGAATGGGATCCAGGGAGGTGCTTTATGATGTTTTGAGCAATGGCACCATCATCGGAATGAAAGCCTTGCTGCCAATGTAACTAAGTTGGGGTGTTTCTGTTGAAAATATGAACCACATCCTTTATAGTCACATCTTACACTGTGATTTTTTTCACTGTTCTTGGAAATGTGCAATTAGTTTCTGGGCTTTATGAATTAATTAACAACTTTTAAATGAGAAAATATTATTTGGCTGTTAGACTGTTCTTTTGTTTGATGCTTAAGGATGGAAAAATGGTCAGATTAGAGATAAATCAGGATGATTATTATATTTATTGAATTGATTTCAATTATTATATTATATTTATTGAATTGATTTCAAGGTAAACTACAGACACATCTTGATGGTTTTCTGCCCTCGCATTATGATGCAAAGAGCAAAGTGTTAATTGGTGATTGTTCCTGAGGTAGTATAGGTCCTTCAAAAGTCAAAGATTCTTCAAACACTCATTCATTCAAGAAATAGTTATGGAGCATCTACTGTGCTCCAGGCACTGTGTTGAGTATTGCAGATATGGCTGCAAAGAAGGCATCTTTAGTCTTTGTTTTGATAGTGCTCACAGTCCAGCAGGGGCTGCAAGAAAGCAAACAGACCATTACAATAGCATGCTGAATTCTAGAGTGAGAGATACAGAGGGGCCCTAGGAGGATGCAAGAAAGCCACCTAACGAACACTAGTTATGGAAGTGGTTGGTAGTGAGTGAATGGGTCAGGAAAGACTCCTTTGATGAATTGACGGGCGTGTAAGCAAATGTTTGAAGAATGGTAAGATTTCTGAAGAAGAAGGGAGGCTGGGGTGGTGAGGAGGGGAAGTGGGGACCAGAAAAGGGCTCCTGGAGGAAGAATTAGCTTGGAGAATTTGGAGAACACCATGTCATTCAATGTGGCTGAAGCATTCAGTGTTATAGGAAGAAAGAACAACTCTGTCAAGAGATGAGGCTGAATTGGAGGCCTATTGTAAAGGGTCTTATAAGGAGTTTGGGCCTAATCTTCAACTGACAGGAATCCAGTGGAGGATGCTAAGCAGGGGAACGTAGATGAATTAGATTTACATTTTACAAAGATTGTGGTGTGGAGATGGATTGAAATGGACAAGAGTGGGGACAGAAAGACCAGGAGAGAGATGCTGGAGTCCTGCTGTAAGGCAGCGACCCGGGCAAGAGAGGGAGAAAAAGAAGATGTGGCAGACAGCTAGGAAGCAGAACTAGAGGGCTTATTGGTGAATTAGTGGAGAGCGAAATGGGCTGACACAGATTCCTGGCAGGTTAAGTGACTAGATGGAGATGCCCCCTCAATAATGAAGGGAACATAGGAGGAGAAAGAATTTTGATTAGGAAGAATCCTTCTCTCTCAATGCTTTTTTTATTTCAGATTGGCAAGCTAAATCAGATGAAACATAGATACTTTTCGGGTGCTTTTTAAGTTCCCAAAGCCATTGAGTTCCATTGTTTGAACTCAATGGCTTTGATGTGTGGGCCCCCCAAACATGCAAATGCTGCATTTAGTAAGTTAAAGCAAAGCAAAGGAAAATCATTTACCTGTAGATCTTAAAGCAAGTGTTGCAGCATCATGAACTCTGGTGCCTGCAAGACAAGTAATATAAACATTCTACTTTTAATGTAACAGACTTTCCATTCCCCACCCTCATCCCAGGCATCTGCACATACAAATCAAAACCTTCTTAAGTCATGGAATGAAAAAAATAATAATAAATAAAAAATAAAAGCAAATGAAAAGTGCTTCCTGTGTGGTGAATGGAAATTTTTGCCCAGTTTATTTTCCGAGCACATGAAAAGTAGTTCTGAATATTTAAAACCACAAGTATTCTTTGTTGTGTAATTTTCTCCTCTTGAGACAGAAACATAGCACCTAAATTTTATTAGGAAATCTCTTTTGCATTCAAGTATTTTGGAACTTCATCTAGGACCTAAGTACCCTTCTTCCACAGAAATATGAGGCCAAAAAATCATGGTACCAATAATTTCTGGCCAAATGAATGAAGACTAGCATGTGAATGTAGAGTGGTAATTACGAGTGTGGAATTCAGAGTTTCATTGTTTGGGTTTGACCTGGCTTCATCACTTATTGGCTGTGTGATCCCGGGCAAACTATTTAATCTCTCTCTCAGTTTCTTCATCTGTGAAATGGGAACTACTCATAGAGTAGTTGTGAGAAATGAATGAGATAATCCATATGAGGCACGGTGTCTGTCACGTAGTATGTGCTCAATAAATATCATTATTAGATTCCCGTCCTATTTTCCTCCACATACTTGCAACTGATCTCTAGAATTTGTGGCAGTTCTTATCAAATGAAGTAAAAGCTCTTCGTACTATACTTAGTTCTATAGCTAGGCCACCAAAATGTTAGAAAAAGTCAATTATTCTCCACTTCCTGTCTCTGCTGGAAAAGGACTCCAATACATGGATGGTGCATATGGAAGCATTTCTTCTTGGTGTTGTCAGGGGCTCAGTGGAAGGGAAAGGAAGGAAATCAGGGTAGCAGGTTCCTAGGGGTCCTGGTGGCTCAATCTATACTTCTTGAGCTAGCTTAATACCTCAAATAGCTTCTTCCACACACACTATTGAGGCCCATGAACCCTAAAGAAATGTACCTGGAGAAACCTCAGCCACTTAGGGAAATCACTACAGGATCAGCCTCCTTCCTTGACTTTGGAACCCCCTGGCTCTGGGCCTGTACCCCTCATTGCTATTTTATAGCTTGAAACCTAGATTCTTCTTCGGAGCCTGGACATTTTGGACTGACCTTGGTTGCCCTGCCCAACTGATTTCACGGCTGATAGTTGGTCTTGCCCTGTTACTACTCAGAAACCCAGCCCAGATCCAGCATCCTGGAAGCTGGTTCAGACCTCTGGGTGGTATTCTCAGAAGCCTTGTCATGAATGGTTTCACCTACTTGGTTAAGACTGAGGACTCTGGAGCCAGACTCTCCAAATCTAGCACTGCCACTTACTAACCATATGACTTGGGCCAGCTAGTGTACACTCTTTGCCTCAGTTTTCCTTATCTGTAAAATGGGAGATTAGTAGTCCCCATCTCATAGAATGGTTAAATGGATTAATACATGTATAAGACATAATGTAAATATATATATACAAATAGTCCACTTAAATACATGTGAAACAATATAAATGTAATAAATAGTATTAGCTATATTCATATTATATTTTATATGCATCAAATATATTTTATATATTATTTTCCATTTAATTGTATGTAAGTTTTATATTAATAAGTATTATTTTATATAAAACACATGTATGTATAAATAAAATTATTTATATTCTTACTACTGTTGTCATTATTGTTTGCTCTCTCTCTGCACAGGTAGAGAGATCATGGGTAAGCTTTTCAAATTTCTTGCTTTCATCTACAGCTATAGGTACAGAATTCCTGATTTTCACAGATTCCACTGTAATATGCAGTGCAGGGCTTGAATCTGATTAAAACTGACTCTATCATTTGGAAAATTATAATTAACAATGAATGTTGTATAAATATTATTTATTGATTTCTTATGTTATTCCTCTTTCAGATATCTTTATTTCAATGTCTGTAATAACTTCGCTTATATCTTGTCCTGTTTCAAAGGCTCGCTATCTTTTGAACAGATAGCATAAGACAGAAATGTGTCAAAATATATATTTTTCATCACATGATTTTTAGAGCCTGTTATTCCCAATACTTTTGACTTAGAGAGGTAGAGTGGTTCTGAAGAGAATAACATTGTCTCTTGCACTTGTTCTATTGGAACTAGGTTGAGGGTAATGTTCTCCTTCCTGTGTTCTTCAAATCTTCGGTAATTCACGAATTTTGCTTAACTGCTCCCCCCACCCCACCATATAGCCACCAATACCAATTAAAAGACAGCTCATTGTCATGATGTCATATCACATTTAGCCACAAAACCCACTTCCTTTCCAGCAATAGAAAACAACTGAGAACATGAATTCACTGTCATTTTTGACAGAGGATTTTATCTGTTCTGGAAAACATGAAGTCGGACCTTTGGTATTTCTTTCTCTTCTGCTTCCAAGTTGAATTGCTAACAGGTAAGTGGCCTATTGAATATTTTTTATTAAGTTATAATTCAAGCAAATGTTAAGAAAAGTTAAAGGTAGAAATTTTAGGCATAAAATAGAAAGTTTTTTTTTTTGTTTGTTTGTTTTTTTTTAAGTAAGAACAATTGCATAAAAGCCCAGGGAAATGGCTAAGGGTATTTCGTCACCCATGTCACTGTCGATGGCATTGAGTTTATACTGCTTCCTTTGATATTGTGTTTAAGAAGAAGGAAAATATTTCCTTAGAACATTAAAATTTTAAATTATCTACTTAGAGTTACCTGTTAGTAGTTAAAGTAGAAGAGCGGCTCAATGTTCTCAGAGAAAGATGAAAGGTAAAAGACTTGTGTCAACAGAATGAAAATTAAAAGGATTGCCCCTGTGAGAATGCGTATAAAGGAATAACTTCGCAAACTAAAACGAAGTTTTATTTCTGAAGGAGAAAATAAAATGGAAGGGCTTTGAAAAGAGGATTTTGTTTTTAATTTTATCTGGGTGGTCTGTTGTCAGAAATGCCCAGGCCTCCACAGAGTTTTCCTTCACAAAGTGTCAGAGTTCCTTTAACAGGCCAAGGAGTAGCGGATGATGTAAAACCATTTCCCATCCCCTGTAGACCTTTAAAAGATCCTCTGTTCTTTCTCTTAGATGGTATATATGACTCTATTTGAACAATTTAAATAATGTTACTTACAGCTAAATTAATATATATATTTCTACTGCTTCTTACTCTATATATTTTATTTAGCATTATATTTATTTTACCTTTACCTCTGAGCCATGTTCTTGAGGCTTGGGGAAAGTGAAGTGAAATTATATTAAACTGGGAAATTCCATTAACACTAAAAGTAAAATCAGAACTTTTATTAGGTATACTCTTATCTAGAAATAAATTTTTAAGTGGTACTAAGAAATAGATTACTTTCTGTCTCCAAAAAATAAAAATTGAAGCAGATCGGTCAAATGTTTAATCTTGTGGTAGCTCAAGGTGTCTCAAGCTAAGTAAAGAGGAATGAGAAATTAGGGTCGACTTATAAATCCCAAGGGCAATTTGGGACTTCTTGCTTGTTTACCAATGCGTTTTCTACAACCTAATGGAATTCTTTCACAGCCTAAACAACAAATATATAGCTTTGGAATTGATATTCTTTCAATCACTCATTCACTCATCCATTTATTCATATAGCACCTAGCACTTGCCACGCAGAAGGTAATGTGCTAGCTGCTGTATATACAATGATGAGCAAAACCAGGTCAGGTCCTGCTCTCAAGAAGCTAATTGAATGCTTGGGAGAAAGACATTAATCAAATATTCCCACGAATTAATGATAATTACAAGTAGAACTGAATTCTATCAGAGAATGTAATGAAGAAGCCTGTCCAGAGTGGGTGTGGAAGAGGGGTTAGGGAGTGTGGTTCATTGAAGTCTTTTCTGTGAAAGTGGCATTTAAATTGATATTTGAAGAACAATTGGGGTAAATGAGAAGAATGTCGTGAGGGCGGGGAAAAGTCTTCCGTAACAGGAGAAGAGTAAGTACAAAGGACCTGTGGTAGGAGGGAATAAAGTAAGGCCAGAGAACTAGAAGAAGGCAGATTTGCCCAAGCAAAGGAAAATGTTGGGGATGGTGCAAGATGAGGTTGGGAAGGAAAGCAGAGGCCAGACCATTCAGACTGCGTGGGCCATGGAAGGGTTTTGTATTTTCTTCCGATAACAATGGTACAAGTCCATTGAAGGGTTTGTTGGTACTGCTAAAAAGCATCCCGATATGCCAAACCCATCTGGGCACTTTCAGCGATATAGTGCTCAGGAGATTTGAATTAGCAATAGTGTTATTTCTATGGAAGGATATATCCAACCTAGGTAGAATTATTTTAAGTTGCCAGTCTTAACTGATGAATAAATTGTATTTCTAGAATGATAGTCATCTTAGTTTTTAAAGGAATAAAACCAGTGTTCGCTCTCATCACACAGAAAACCATGCCATGTGACAAGCTATTTTCCTGTTTGACAGGTAGCAAAACCGAGGCATGAATGGCTAAATGGTGATAGTAAATATGCTAACAATCTTCATATTTAAAATATCATCACGATGCATTTATTCAGCAACTATTGTTTTTAAAAGCTCTAAATGCAAAGTACAGAGCCAAACCAAAGTAAACTAAGCACTTGCAGGTCGTTTCTGTTGGGATGTTTTTAATTCTCTCAACTGTGTAACTCTCATCCCTCAAAGAGGTAGGTATTCTAACTTTTGGTTAATATTTGAAGACTCTCAAACCAGAAAAGACTAGGTTATTTGTTACATAGTATTTAGTCGCAGAACTAAGATTAGAATTCAAATGTGTCTGAATCTGATATCCACATTCTCTCCACATACACCTTGTTGAAGGAGCAGAGGTATAAATCTCAAAGGAGAGAAATTCTCATCAGTTTTATCATTTGGTTGGTGAGTTAAGATGTTGGAAATTTTGGTGATTCCCAGTTTTCTACTGGTCTCAATGTAATAAAATTGTCTTCTTTTAATGATTTTGAAACAATAGGAGGCTCCTCATTATAAAAGGATCTGGGAAAAATGTGAACCTCTAACTGCACTGAGAAGATGCTCTTTCTATACCATATGGTCATTGGGGACCATGCAGGTGACCTCATGAATTCTGGTTTTAGAAAGCCCACTTTGAAAGCTGTGGAAGGGGAATGATTGATGTCAGGTGGTGCATTTTGCATCATGTGTTCTGAGAGGAAGCTGGAAGGATGATCCTCAGGCTCATTTTGAGCTATGCTTTTGTCACCAAGGCATTGAAACAGTGATTCCTGAATTCCATCCTCTCAGGAAAAACAGGCCTTTGGCATCTCCAGCACCTGCTTTTCTGCAGAGCTCAGAGAGAAGTCTGTGGAGCTGAGCTGATCTTTGAACCACTCCTAGCACCCACTTTCAGTATTCATATTGGGTTTTTAAAAAATTCAGATTGTCAATCCCTTCTTTTGATAGATGAATTCAGGCCATTTTCATTCAGCATGATAAGCCTATGTTGATTTTATTCCTTCAATATTATGTTTATTTTTGTTTATTTTTCTCTGTTGTGTGAGTGTTTTTTTTTTTTTCTCTCTATTTTTGTTGATATGATGACGTTTCTGTTAACTACACTC